ATTTGGGGTCAAAAGCGACGATGATCACAGGTCTAACCTCACTACTACAGTTAATTCTTTCTCTTTTTCTTATTTCTCTCCAGATGTTTATGCAATGAGACTATCTTTCATTTTATTTGCAACTCTATCTTAATTGTTGCTGCACGGTGAGTCAAAAGATTGCAAATTGTTCAAGAAATGTTGAGTTAAGGGTGTAATTCCCTACCATTAAGGTGATAGGAAAACCCTTGGCGACGTAGCTGTCTGGTTTCGGGAAATTTGTATTGAAGAAAACGGAAGGTATATATATAGCTTATCTTCACCGGATTTTTTTTTTTTTTTTTTTTTTTTTTTTTTTTTTTTTTTTAAGGAAAATGGTAAATGGAGATATTACGGTATATTTGCTTAGATTGAAAAAAAAACATACTTGATACATAGACGTACAGGCATGCATATTCACTCACACTTTCTCTCTCTCTTTCTCTCTCTCATACACACACACACCACCAACCATTAGCATAACACCACCCAATAATAATAATAATAATAACAACTATAATAATACGAATAATAATAATAACAACAACAATAATAATAAAATATTTCCAAAACTAACTATACCAAACTAACCAAACTGAACAATACACACAAACACCCCCATCCCCCTCCCACCTCAAACCCCCATACCCCCCTCCTCCTCCCTCCCTCCACCTCAAACCCCCTCCTCCTCCCTCCCCACCTCACATCCCCATCCCTTCCTCCTCCTCCCCCACCTCAAACCCCCATACCCCCTCCCTCCCCACTCAAACCCCCACCCCCTCCCCCCACCTCAACCCCCATACCCCCCTCCTATCCCTCCCCTCCCTCCCCACCTCACACATCCCTCCTCCCCCACCTCAACCCCCATACCCCCTCCCCCCTTCCTCCCCACCTCAACCCCCCTCCCCTCCCCTCCTCCCCTTCAAACCCCCATACCCCTCCCCTTCCTCCCCCACCCCTTCCCTCCCCACCTCAAACCCCCATACCCTCCCCCTTCCTCCCCACCCTTTCCCTCCCCACCTCAAACCCCATACCCCCACACCCTCCTCCCCCACACCTCCCCCCCCTCCTCCTCCTCACATCCCCACACCCCACACCTTCCCCCCTCCTTCCCCAAGCCCGGGATGACGCAAATTACACGAAGTCCCGCTTATCAATCTGACGAAGCGAAGACGCCTTGTTGAACGCGGCTCGTCCGAACCGAAGCGCGAAGGACGTCCAGTGGGCTTCTTGAACGCATTCCTGCTCAATTTCTCCCTCAATCGTTCCTGCTCAATTTCTCCCTCAATCAATTTCTCCTTCGCTCAATTTCTCCCTCAATCGTTCCTACGCAATTTCTCCCTCAATCGTTCCTACTCAATTTCTCCCTCAATCTTTCCTACTCAATTTCTCCCTCAATTTTCCTCATTTCAATCGTTCCTGCTCCTCCCAATGCTCAATTTCTCCCTCAATCGTTCCTGCTCAATTTCTCCCTCAAATCCCTGCTCAATTTCAATCGTTCCTGCTCAATTTCTCCTCAAATTTCTCCCTTCGTTCCTACTCAATTTCTCCCTCAATCGTTCTGTTCCTGCTCAATTTCTCTCCTCAATCGTTCCTACTCAATTTCTCCTCAATCGTTCCTGCAAATTTCAATTCGTTCCTGCTCAATTTCTCCCTCAATCGTTCCTGCTCAATTTCTCCCTCAATCGTTCCTGCTCAATTTCTCCCTCAATCTTTCCTGCTCAATTTCTCCCTCAATCGTTCCTGCTCAATTTCTCCCTCAATCAATTTCTCCCCTCTCAATTTCTCGTCTCTTCCTGCTCATTTCTCCTCAATCGTTCCACTCATCATTCTCCCTCATCGTTCGCTCAATTTCTCTCAATCGTTCTGCTCAATTTCTCCCTCAATCTTTCCTACAATTTCTCCTCAATCGTTCGATTTCCTAAATTTCTCCTCGTCAATTCGTTCTCAGGTTCCTGTTCCTGCTCAATTTCTCCCTCAATCGTTCCACGTGTTTTTGTCTTCGTAATTTCAAAGGAAAAAAAAAATATAATAATGATTTTAGGTTTGTAGAGTTGTGTGCGTGTGGGAGACGAAACTCGAAAACGGAAAGGAAGAAGAAAAAAAGCGAATAGTAATAGTCTATGAATAGGCAGGATAGGCTAAGCGTGAGAAACAGGAGGAGGGGGGAAGAGAGGAGAAATTAGAGGGTAGAGGGAGGAGAGAGAGAGAGAGAGAGAGAGAGAGAGAGAGAGAGAGAGAGAGAGAGAGAGAGAGAGAGAGAGAGAGAGAGAGAGAGAGAGAGAGAGAGAGAGAGAAGAGAGAGAGAGAGGAGAGAGAGAGAGCGAGAGGAGAGAGAGAGAGAGAGAGAGAGAGAGAGAGAGAGAGAGAGAGAGAGAGAGAGAGAGAGAGAGAGAGAGAGAGAGAGAGAGAGAGAGAGAGAGAGAGAGAGAAATCCATTTTTTTTACCTTCTTACCAAAGTACACAGCATATGACTAGCCC